ATTAGAACACCGCCGGCTGCGACTCGACGAGATTTACCGGAAAGGGGAGCCGGAAAAAACCGTGAGTCGTCCAGGGACACGACGAGGGCAGCTCAGGTCCTCGCACTACGTGTTTTAGTTCAGCTTAGCTCTTGTGAGGCTTCACTGGCAGGTTCATGCCCTGGACTTTTGGTTTTTGTGGGGACCCGAGGCACGGTCTGAGCCCCCTGCTATCAGTACAAACGCCACGGCACGCCAGGTTTGGCAGCAAGCTTCCAAAATAGAGGAAACCCCCTACCACGCGGTTTGCCCTGCTCTTTCTACGCTCTCGGGCAAAGCCGCCCTGCTCGTCGGCGAGGAATGCGAGGCACCTTCTCACTCGAAGGATGAAGGCACACACAGGGACCATCCCCACCCACGCTCGCTCTCCATCTTCCCCTGCCTCTCCTCCAGGTGCAAAAATGCCCCGTGGCGAACAGATGCAGCAAGAAAAGGGGAAGGAGCCGCAGAGCCCATCCCAACCCCGTCCCTCTGCTCCCACGCTGATAAGAAACTCGCTACAACAACAACAAAAAGCCAAGGGAGCTCCACCTGAAAGCAAGGAAAGACCAGCTCGGTGAGGTCTTCACCTACTGACACGACACCGGGGCCGGGACGGTGACAAGCAACGAGGGGAGCGGTCGGGACGGCAACGCGGCCGTCTCCAGAACGCCGACACCTTGTCCCGCGGCTCGCAGGGGTCGTTCATGAGCTCTGCGTGCTCCGAGCCGCAGGACGAGGCCAAAAGCAGCCGAACCTCGGGCACCGCTGCTCCGCCGCGCCCGCTTCAGGTGGAGCTTCCTAAACTTGGCTGGAAGTCACTCACGAGATAAAGCTTCACCGAGCCAAACTTCTGCCAGGAGAATGTTGTTCTGGCTCAGCTGTAAATCCCCTCTAATTACACACCTTCCCCAGCACACGAGCTCATCCACGGCATCGATACGCGTTCAAGGGCACGAGCCACGCTGGGGAAGCCTTCCTCTTCGAGCCAGGGGTGCAGTCATGGCAGGCAGCAAGAAAACAAACGCAAATCCGCAACGCGACAGAGTCCGAGCAAGCCTCTGGCACAGCCCGATCTCCACCAGAGCGCCGCGTTCAGGGTGGGCACCTCAGACTTCTTTCGACCCGACGGTCTCGTCGCTCTGCAGGAAAACGCACGTCTGCTGCAACCAAATATAGCAAGGCAAGCACGGGCACGCCGAGGGAGACATGAAACGCCGCTCTCCACCCCCACCCTGGAGAAGTGACCCCAGGTTAAATTGGAGCTGTGAGCGGCGGTGGGGTTATTTAAGACACCATGGGATAGCGAGAAGCCTCACCGCACCCAGCGCTGCGGTCTGGATCCGGCTGCTGGGAAAGCGCCGAGCTCCAATTAACTCAGCCATGAAAGGGCCTCCACGGCTGCTTCCTCCACTTCGTACTCTGGGGAGATGAAAGCAAGCGAGGAGGAGGAGGAGGAGGGAGAGGTCCAGATACCTGGCAGACAAAAGCCGACGCACAGGGAGGGAGCGCAGGTGCTTTCCAGCCAGCCGTCGCTCCGGTGTTTGCTTGAGGACAC